ATTCTCATAAATCTCTTCCTTTCCCACTTTAAATTCATTCACCATTTGCAAACAGTTAACATGCTCTCTCGCGAGATATCATGATAACTTTTAACAAATCGTAAAGGAATGAAAAGTGGTAAAATAAGATATTTATTGGAAAAAGATAAAGTATCATCGGCCGCAAGCATACCGATATACACTAACCTTGTGTATTTATTTACCATGAAAATAAATTAAAATATAAAATCTTAAATAACATATATATTAATATATGCGAGTTAATTTATGTATACTATATATTAAAATGGATGGTGTACGTTAATCATGTATACTATATATTAAAATGGACGGTGTAACTTTTCCGAGAAACTTCAATGAATCTACTATAAGAACCAATAAAAAACATTAATATTACATACTTGTAATAAACTCAATTTAAAAAAAAACATTAACGTCAAATCTCGGATGCATCATTTTACCGTGTTAATCTAATTCTAAATAGGTCTAAATAGGATTAAATAATGAAGATGAAAAAAAAACAAGGATTAATGAAGCCTTTATTTTCCAGAACAAGGAATAAAGCATTTTAGAGACTTTACGAAATTACGATTATGCAAAACTACAATCAACTTTAAATTCGTTCAACATAATTATGTGAACTCCTGCAAAAGAGCAAATAGTAACTTTGTGGGGTCGGAGCTCTCATATATACCAAGAGCAAATAGTAAGTTCGTGGGTCGGAATGACACAGCTAGGGATAATTCCCTACGATCCTTCTGGTACAAATATTAATTGGTACTGACCATTACGTAATTCACGTGATTAATATTTAAGTGTGTTTGTTATTACCCTGTACTCTGTCATTATGTTCATTATGGTTCATTATGTAATTCATGCACAAATTCGCAGATTAACGTATAATACTATAATACCGTATCGGGTTTTTATAGTTGCCACCTTAATAAGGAAATTTAGAATGCCATAATGTCAATAATACGTATTATTTCAGTGTTTTTTAATTGAACAAGTAGATATGCGCGTACATATCGATATATATCGATATATATCGATATATATTGATATATATCGATATGTATCGATATGTACTCACGTACCAACAAGAAACCCCCTTAACTGCTAAACATGCATCATACGTATATCTCAAACGTGGATATATATGCATACGACAAGAAAACATTCGTTTTTTTGATTGAGGTACGTGCATATGAAGAATTTATCAATTACGTACATATAGTGCTTCCTCAATCATAGGTTATACGAGAATAGTTAAGCAATTCGTAATAAGTCGTTGAAATGTTAGGTTCTGATACATATATGAAGTCATTGCATGCGATTATAGCATATATTTTGGTTATTTTTTTTATTTTTTCTTTTTTATTTTTATTTTTATTTTATTTTATTTTTTCTTTATTCTTTATTTTTTATTTTTATTTATTCATTATTATATACATAATTGATTCCTTTTTTATTAATCTTTCTTATTTTTTAATCTTTTCTTTTTAATATTAACAAAGATGAACTTTTACACTTTTATCTTGTTATTGGTCTATCCTCTGATTCTGCCATTTATGAT